CAGATAAAAAATAAAAGGGATTTTAAAAAACGTTAAAGGAAGGCCTTTATATCGCCTTAATTATTCATACGTGGCGGGAACGGTAGAACAAGGCAGGTACCCGTGATTAGCTGGTAACGTTTTAAAAGGCGAATGGAATAATTTCTTTATCTATATAACATACTGAATAATTCAGAAAAACAGTTCACTACAATGGCGCAGTCTGCCTTCGGTCCCGGCGCCGTCGAGGTCGGATGGAGAGAGTTCACTCCAATGATGTTTTCGAGGCACGAGATTTTAATTGTGTGTGTGTGCGTGTATGTGTGCACGCGCACATCGATAAACAAGCAGTATATAAACAATAAGAGACTGGGGTGTCACAACAAAGCACTGACGCTGATTAACTGTCTTCTTCAAATTGAAAACAAACAGTTACCAACTCGTAGAAAAACATGCATCACTGCTATAAACACTGAGCGGATCGAGGCGAGTTCAGTCGACGCGGATCCTCGGAAGTGAGCTGAGTGACGACGTCGAGCTCTTCCTTCCTCGAAAGGTTTGTTTTGCTTGCTTCTCGGCGTCGCTCGCGAAGAGCAGTCGCTGGCTGGAGTGAGTTTCATCTCAGTGGTCGAGGATTCAAAGTTGATTTCACACACATACACGCCCCATAAGCGTGTGTATTTGTGTTTAAATACATACATACATATATATACACGATTACATATATAATATAATATATATATATGTGTGTATATTTGTATGTATATGCATATATATATATATATATATATATATATATATATATATATATATATATATATATATATATATAGAGAGAGAGAGAGAGAGAGAGAGAGAGAGAGAGAGAGAGAGAGAGAGAGAAAGAGACATAGACAGGGAGAAAAAGACAGACAGATAAATAGAGACAAAGAGTCAACATGAATTTCATACAAAATACATAAACACAGCCTTTTGATAAACTAAGTAAATATGAACATTTATTATATTGTACGTGGAATATTTGTTTTCCCCAATTCAAATAAGAAATTTAACAATATAAAATGTATGATAAACAATGCAAGTAAAAGAAAACTGTGTCATCTTGGGAGGTCTGGTAGCCTATAAGCTGTAGGGTGGTCAGAGAAACTCACTGTGTCCTTTGATGCTTAAAAAGGCTAACGGCCGGTTTGTTAAAGACTGCGTGAGGCTCGAACCCAGTGAATGCATATGTGGACAGTACATATAGAGTTAAATATATATATGTCTGTTAAATATGCAAATTTAAAATGTATCTATCCAATATATGTGGATATCTATACTGACAGATAGGCACTCATTGCTGTGTAATTGCATATCCACATGTATGAGCATTCCTTAGGCAGAGCCTCGCGCAAATTTAACAAGCAACCGGTAGCGTCCTCGGCAAATAATATACCAAGCGAGCCCTGCCCTTGGAGGAAGGCTGAAGAGGTGGAGACAAACTCTGAACTGGTTGTCTCTTGACCCAACTTGTGATCAGGTTCTTTGCTCAGCACTGGACCCCGATAAGGAGGAGGACTTTGAGAGTATGCAGGTATGGCTTGAGTGTATCCCATGTCACCTCCAGATTCTATAGGTCCTCCGATATCCTAAGAAAGTATATTAAGTCACCAAACCGTCATGTAGAGTGCCTGCTTGCCGCATAACCTGGAGTTCAGGGAGGCAGACCATAGGGAATGCTGATAGGATGTAGCTAAATACTATAGTTCGTCACTTGCCAATTTCTTGCAGAAAAGAATAGTTGCCAAATTGAGAATTTGATAACAACCCGATGCTTACTCCTCGTCTGCAAGCAAACACTCCTACACCGCAGCCATTTGTAAATCTAAAAAATGCATGATAATGGAATCTGTAAGCAAATACTCCTACACTATAGCCATTCATAATCAGAGTCCCACCTAACTGTAGAATCTTCACGTCTCCTTGAGGGCCCTTGCCACTTCACCGCTCACTTGAAACTAATCAACATCCACAAAGGGCACAAACACACCTTTTGACAGTCTCAGTTGAAAAGCTTCCTCTTATGCCTTTCCAGTATGGGTATTCAGTGTCGCACACAGTGTTGTTTATATATATATACGTATATATATATATATATATATATATATATATATATATATATATATATATATATATATATATGCAACAAGAACAACGAAGGGAAGGGCAAGAAAACACACGAATATGTCGAAGGCCTTATACCTATTGCTTCTGAAAACATTTTCGTTTCGTGGCTAACTCATACCTATAGTTAAGAGAAGAGCCGAAGGGAATGAAACCCTGTGATTAAATTACATGCACACACGTACATGCATGTATATATGTATGTATGTGTATATATATATATAATATATATATATATATATATATATATATATATATATATATATCGGCTGACGTCGGGCGTACGTCCTCGTCTTCGACCGGACGACATGGGAGACCCGAGGCAGCACGTTCAGCGGCCTTACTGCGGATTTGTTTGCCTTTCCTATGCATCCAATATGCTTTTGCATAGCATGCCCCAAACACTAATAAAAGAAGAATCATGCCTATCAAGGTAACATATACAGGATAATAAAAGTGTATATGAAATTCTGACAACTCCATGTCCGCGTCCTGAAACTTACTAACATCCCCTAGATGTAATTTGGGGATCGTGATGTTGAGTGTCGGCAAGGTCAAGAGCAATAGCCTGATCACTATAGGATCTACGGCGACGTCTGTAGCGAAGGATTTGATTAATGGAACTTTTAATGACAGGGAACTTAACCTACAGTGGTGGGGTAGCAGAAGGGTTCCCTGCAACAACCTATTTGGCTGAAGCTCCTTGCAAGTAATAGTGGCGGCAACGTCGGTGTATCCCTGCTGCCCACCAGTATTATCCATGCCTCGCCAGTCCTGGGTTCGGTGAGATCATCCCCTTC